TTTATTTATGAGTGGATGAACTCATTAAACTTGCGGTTATATGATTTCTTAATGTCTCCAATTCTTGTGCTATATGACCGTCTTACCAGTGGCTGTAACGTTCAAAAACATCCTATCTACTTCTCATCCACCTCATGAATAATACCCTCAAATTGGAATCTTACATACTTGAGTTTTGTCTGCATTATGGCATATACAAATATTAAAATAAATTTTAAATTTGAAAAAAAAAAATTGAATATCAATACACTAATAAAACAATAACAAAAAAAATTCAAATACCTGAAGTTTATCTTGCCATCATTCCTAATATACATCAACGATATTCCATTATAAAAAAATAATACAAATACAATTAGGCACATGAGGTGCATTGCTGTGAAGAAACTATTTCGTATAGCCTATATGAATAGGAAGCAAGAGAATTCAGACAACAAGAGACAAGAAATCACCCACTGAGACAATAAAACAAATACAATACGGGCATACCGATTAAACAATCTCATAACATAATAATAAAATAATAATAATAATATTATTATTATTATTAGCAGGGCAGCTATATATAGCAAAGCATCCTGAAAATAAAGCAACCCTTGTGACACCTGCAAAGAACTCTTACTGATAAGATCGCCAATTTGAGCAGCAAGACTCTGGCTTGTTCTGTCCAATTTGATAAGATCCCCAATTTATATTTTCTCGGCACTGATAAATGCTTCCCATCTGGCTGAATTAGATTCGTCAAGGGCAACCAGTGCATCTACTGCTAATTGAATAATTCCTTTGTTTCTCAGTAAAGATTACCGGGTTTTATCCTACCCCTCAAACCTAAACATCCTTATTCCCAAACATCAAACACGACAAGATGGTAGTGAAAGCATCAAAATAAAAAACATAGATGAATTTCGATTTAAATAATTTAAACAAAACTTCATCACAAATATAAGCACAAAATTCATCACAAAACATAAATAAGAGTATTATTGGAATTATGAAAGTTTCATTAAATACCGAGCACTCCTCAATCTGATTTACACATAATCAAAAAATGAAAGCATGTAACAATAAGTGATTTTTTCATAGTTTATCAAACGAGTCGTACTTCCCAAAAATTTTAAAAAATCACTTATCACTCCAAATAAGCATTGGCAAACGAGCACTAGGAGATGTCAAAGGGTTGCAATGATAGTGAGAAAATGAAAATTAGAAAAATACAAAGAAAGAAATGCATGGGCACTTCAAATTTTGGTTAGGAAAGTAGGATTATATTAATAATACAATAGCCTAAAATAAAATTTGAGAGGGGGCACATCCCCACCCTGGGCCTTTGCTCCCTTTGTTACTAGGTAGGGAGATTGCATTCATAAATTACGCCACGAGAGAAATACAAATACAATAGCCATAATGGCCACTACAACTTCCCAGAAATGGATTACAAACAACACAGAGGGATCCATCGACAATATCAAACTCATCGACAATATCAAATAAAAATGAACTTCGGTAGCAAGATTGATATGCTTACCAATCCTGAAACGTGTTGAGCATAAAATAAAGGAACACGCAGAGAATTATTTTATGCGGTAAAACCCCACCTCTAGGTAAAATCCACGAGACTCCTCAGTCCAAAACAAATCCACTATAAAACGATGATTACAAGAAGTACTCACACACTTATCCTAGACATATTTTAGATAATGTTTACCGACTTCTTCGTAATTCAACTTCTGTCATACGATGATCTTTTGACCCTCCTTATGTTGAATGCAATACTGGTCACGATTGCTTCAAGCTCGCCGAAGACAAACTGCCACCACGGTTTTGGTGCCCTCAATCGTATGAGTCATCGAACATGCAAATGAATGCAATATAAATGATGAAAGTATTTGATAAATCACCAAGTAAACATGGAACACTTGATGACTTATCTCAAAGATATGCACAGCAACTTTTGTTAGGAAATTTAGATTCTCAACCAAAATATCTAAAAGCTGTATTTCAACCAAGGCAAAACGTCCTATCTTTATACAGACCTATTCTCCTTTTTCCAAGGGAATTGCAAAAAGCGAAGAGATCAAATATTGCCTAAACAGATTTGATTCTTTATACAATTGCGTCAGCTTATGCATGCTTTAAAATAACTTCCAATCTCATCAATTTATATAAGGAAACAATATATACCAAGATGAAAACAATGAAACCAAATAGGACGTACTCTCCAAGTTAAATATGAAAAAGGATATTTTAACTTTAAACCAAAATAAGGTTCAACTAGGAAAATAATCTCAAGAGATAAAATCTAATCCTATTAAAAATAAGACTAATATAAAAGCATTTGAGTGAAAATAGCTCCAGCTAGGAATCCTATAATGAATGCATGATTATATCATGATTTACCTGAAATCAAGTTCTTCACTTTGATCAAGTCATACTTTGAAATCCGGAATTGAATGTGTTTCCTGTAAAAGATATTGACACACTAATTCCCAACCTATGCTAGAATCTAGGAAATGCCAATACAATTTTCATACTAACACTTATCCTCCCTCAACTAACCAATTTCTCTCTCGCTTTGACTCTGATGCTTCTCTTTCCTTTTCTCCTTTTTTTCAATCTTGTTCTCTCTTTTGTGTGCCCAAAGGGGAAGCTTCACTCACACCAAATAGTGTCAAGGAGGCGTTACACTTGCTATGATCAAGGAAAGATTACAAAATAATTACAAGATTCTTAGGAAGGAAAGACTACAGCTGGTGCTAATATCATGGGTGATCTGCAGCTGTTACAGCTGCATTTGTAACGGTTGAAGGTGCAACTAATAATGCCTAACTTGCAAGTCTCAAATTGGGACAAACCTGTTTGGTGAATAAGTCAGCCAACTGATAAGGTGTTGAGATATGAGCAGTTCAAATCATGCGTGCTTGGAGTTTCTGATGTTACTATATGACTATCAATTTCAATGTGCTTTGATCAATTTATAATAGCTTTTTCTAGAAGCTCTTTTAAAAGTACATTAAAAATATAATTAAAAATCCAAGTGCATTGGATTCAGAAGGATCAATTTGTGTATCTTGGATTGTTGGTTCCACTAGTGAAACTGTTCTTGCTACCGCCACTCGTCAAACTAGTGCTCGCGTAGCCTGGCTTACCCTTGAGAAACGATATGCCTCCTCTAATCACCATCGCATCCTCCATCTTCGCAGCCAACTTATTCATTTCTGTCGCAATGATGTATCTATATCTAATTTCCTTGACGAAATCAATTTTATTGATGATTCCCTTGCTCTCTCTGGTTCACCGGTTGATATATAACAATGATTTGCTTGCTCTCATCATGATAAATGTTGCTCATGCATATGAATATACGGTGGCGGTTGCTCAAGCTCGTGAGACACCCATCTCCTATGCTGATCTTGAGGCCCTGCTCCTCAGTGCTGAGCAACGTGCCAAGTTGTGGTCCTAATTCTGTCGGTTTTGTGCTTGGCCGTAGAGGTTTTCCTATACATCATATTGGTACCTCTAACCTCTCTCTTTATGATTATGTTTATACCCTTAACAATGTGCTTCATTTGTCCCGATGCCTCTTGCCAACTCTTATCTGTAAACAAATTTGCCACCAATAATAATTGCTTCTTTACTTTCTTTTCCGATTATTATATTGTGCAGGATCTATCGACGGGGAAGATGTTTTTTTGGGGGCGGAGTAACAATGGTCTCTACATTTTTCCCAAGTCATCCAACAAGACCCGCCTTAGTAATGTTGCTTTCATTGGTACCCGTGTTCATGGAACGGTTTGGCACTCTTGTCTTGGTCATCCCTCCTCACCTATTTTGTAGTTTTTAATTTCGAACAATGCACTACCTCTATGACACCAAAAAAAAATTAATAATTTCGTTTGTCATTCTTGCTCATTGGGCAAAAGTGTTCAACGTCCTTTTACTGCTTCTTTGTCTGTTACTCATGCTCCTTTTCATCTTATTCGTTCTAATGTATGGAGTGCTTCTACTAGTTCAATTTATGGTTTTCGGTATTAAGTGCTTTTTGTGGATGACTTTTCACGCTATTCTTGGATTTCTCTCGTGAAATTAAAATCAGAGGTTTATTCCCATTTTGTTAAATTCCAAACCCTTGTTGAGAATATGTATTCTACTAATTAAGGCTTTACAAACTGATGGGGGAGGGGAATACACTAGTTGAGCCTTTACTCAATTTTTAACTCATCATGGCATTGAACATCATCTTTCATGTCCACATCATCCCAAACAAAATGGGTTCATGGAAAGTAAACACCACCATATAGTGGACACGGGTCTCACTTTATTGGCCCATGCCTCTCTGCCTTCTTCCTACTAGATTGAGGGCATGCACAGATCTTATTAACCGGCTTCCATCCAAAACTTTAGATTTTATTTCTCCATACCAAAAATTATGTAATAAACTTCCTAATTATGGTTTTCTAAAAACATTTGGTTGTGCTTGCTTTCCATATTTAAGACCTTACAATCATCATAAGCTTCAATTTCGTTATACTAAATGCATTTTTTTTAGGCTATTCTCTTAATCACTAAGGATATTGGTGCGTGAACCTTTCCACCAACCCAGTCTTTTTATCTTGTCATGTGTTGTTTGATGAACAATCTTTTCCTTTTCATGAGACCTAGGGGTCTCTGTCTCCGGGGGTGTCTAACTCGTCGGTAGTTCCTATGCCACCTCTCCACATAACTGAGCCTTTCCCTTTGTCAACTCGCCTTCCACCCATCGCCGCCTCACCTACTCTAACCCATGTACCTGACACACTTACAAACCCACATGTTCAACCCGGCCTCGCCTCACTCCTTGAACTTGTTTCTAGCTCACTCCGTGTCTACCAACATGGTCCAAATCGCCATATCTTTCCCTTTCCTCTCCCATCACCTCCACATGCGGCACCTATTTCTCAAAGTTCCTCGGACACTCTCCTTCTCTGGTTGTGCCTTAACTTAGGGACCCTCCTGCTTATTCTATGGTGACTAGAGCTAAATCTGGTATTCACAAACCTAATCCTAAATATGCTCACACTTCTATTTCTTTATCTTTTACTGATAACATTGTTGAGCCTACATGTTTTACTCAGGCTAATAAAGTTAGGGAATGGGGGTTAGCTGTGACTGATGAATTTAATGCACTTCAGAAGGGCTGGTACTTGGGTTTTCGTGCCTCACACATCTCTATGAATGTTTTGCCCAATAAGTGGGTTTTCCGTTTAAAACGGAATTCAGATGGATCGATTCAACGTTACAAAGCCTGACTTGTTGCTAACGGTTTTCATTAGCCGGTGGGCTTAGATTATGGAGAAACTTTCAGTCATGTTGTTAATCATTCTACCATTCAACTTATTCTAGCCTTATCTGATCAGTTTCAGTGGCCTGTCCATCAGTTGGATGTTTAGAATGCCTTTTTACATGGCTATCTTGATGAGAAGGTGTCTATGCACCAACCCACTGGTTTTGTTGATCTCAATTCCTTGACCATGTTTGTCGCTTTCGTTGATCACTTTATGGCCTCAAGCAAGCCCCTAGAGAGCTTGGTTTCACTTTTTCTCCTCTCATCTTGAAGAATTAGGTTTTCACGGCTCCCAACCCGACTCCTTGTTGTTCACATATCTCCATGGTATGATTAGAATTTATTTATTAGTTTATGTTCATGACATTCTTGTTACATGCGATGATCCCTCCCATATTTCTACACTCATCCTTGACTTGGGGCGCATGTTCTCAATGAAGGATCTTGAGCCTATACATAATTTTTTGGGGATGGAGATTACTAGTAATAACAATGGCTTCTAACTTTCTCAACATAAGTATGTGCGCGATTTATTAACTCGTTTTCATTTGCAGGATGCTAAGCATGGCTCCACCCCTGCTATCAGTCGTCATCGTCTTAGCCTTCATGATGGTGATGACTCTTTGGAGGATCCTACTGAATATCGAAGTGTGGTAGGTGCTCTTCAGTATCTCACATTATATTACTTTTTCTATGAACCAGGTGTGCTAGTTCATGCACCAACCCACCACCTCACATTGGCTTGTTGTTAAGCGCATCATGCGTTATCCCAATGGGACTGCTACTCATGGCATGTTCTACAAACCTGGTCATCTCACTCTCACAACCTATTCTGATGTTGATTATGCTAAAGACCCAACACTCGCTGTTCTACCATAGGCTATTGTCTATATATTAGTTCAAATTTGTTCTCATGGACTTCCAAGAAACAAGGTGGTGTTTCTCATTCTAGCACTGAAGATGAGTACTGCCAATTGGCTCAAACTAAACAACAGCTTCCTCAATGTCATTATAGATATCATACTGGAAAGAATCCTCCTCAACATCACTATGTCAATCAAATGTGATGTAGAACATATGGTAAAAGCAATCAAAGAGAAGCTAAAGCTACGCACGTGCAAAGGAAACCAAAACCCTCCACCGCGACCTAATAGAGGTGCCTTCGTACAATGTCATGTTGTTGAGAGACGTCCTTTCCTTGTGAGTAACGACAAGTCTGAAGAAGAACTCCATAAACTGTCACATCCCGGGGTCGGCTCCGTCATAACATGATATTATCCGCTTTGGGCCTCCGCCCTCACGATTTTGTTTCTGAGAACTCACGAGCAACTTCCCAGTGGGTCACCCATCCTGGGATTGCTCTAGCCCAAACTCACTTAATTTCGGAGTTCCCATGACTTCGAAGCCAGTTAGCTTCCAAAAGGCCTCGTGCTAGATGGAGGCGGATATGTACATATAAGGCATATACCCCTTCTCCGTTAGTCAATGTGGGATATTACAATCCACCCCCCTTAAGGCCTCGATGTCCTCATCGACACACTCGCACCACATGGCAGAGTGGTTCTGATACCAAATTGTCACATCCCGGGGTTGGCTCCGCCGTAGCACGATATTGTCCGCTTTGAGCCCCTGCCCTCACGGTTTTGTTTTTGGGAACTCACGAGCAACTTCCCAGTGGGCCACCTATCCTGCGATTGCTTTAGCTCAAACTCGCTTAACTTCAGAGTTCCCATGACTCCGAAACCAATGAGCTCCCAAAAGTCCTCGTAATATATGGAGGCGGGCATGTACATATAAGGCACATCACCCCTTCTCCGTTGGTCGATGTGGGATGTTACATAAACACCCCCTCCCCCCGAATGCACCTAATGAGAATTATCGTAACCAATATATGAACGATTTTTGAATTAAGGGTTATATTCCATACTTTAATGGCCACCTACAGATCGAAGACTTTCTTGACTGGTTGGTAGAGGTGGAGCGTTTCCTCAAGATTATGGAGGTTCCAGAGATGAAGATGGTGAAGATGGATATCTTCCGTATGAATGGTAGTGCAGTTGTATGGTGGGACTAGCTTCAAAAATCACGATAGCGGTAGGGTAAGCAAGCAGTGAAGACTCGGCACCATATGATGCAACTGATGATGGGGAGATTCCAACGGAAGAAATGATTCATCGAAATAATGAGTCATCATTGATATCGACACATCTGAGATCGCCAAATGTACGGGAGTTCCTCTATTCAATCCTTTTCCTTCTTCTTGTTGCTGGATATCTCGTTCGTACACATCTTCTCTTTGTTTCTCGAGCCTATAGTGAGTTACAGACAGAGTTCGAAAGGTTCAAATCTTTGATGATTCCATCATACATGATTGAGTTGCGAAAACTTCTAGATAGGTATCCTACATCTAAACTGAATTCTTTCTGGTTAAAGAATCTCTTTCTAGTTGCTTGGGAACAATTAGGAGATTCTCTAGAAGAAATACGGGGTTCTGCTTCTGTCGGCAACATGCTATGGGGTGGTGGTCCCGCTTATGGGGTCAAATCAATACGTTTTAAGAAGAAATATTTGAATATCAATCTCATCGATATCATAAGTATCATACCAAATCCCATCAATCGAATCGCTTTTTCGAGAAATACGAGACATCTAAGTCATACAAGTAAAGAGATCTATTCATTGATCGGTCTAATTATAAAAGTAATATAATTTTGTTTCTAATTTTTTTATAATATTTATAAGTTATAAGAATTTTAATTAACATCATAATAGTAAAATAATATAAATTTATAAAATGGCTATAAACAATCATTCCATTCATTTATAATTAGAAGATAATTCTAAATAAAATATATAAAAAAATTAAAATATATTTCATATATAATATATATTAAATTACAAAAAATATCAAAAAAACATAGTACTATAGAATAGTAAAAAAAAAAATCTTACTATTTAATTAAGCTAATTAAGATATTAATTATCGATAAACATATACCGATTATGAGCAGTACTTATATCAGCTCTACCATAATTTTCACTAAGGAAATCGGACCGTGTCTGAGTATATGGATGAAATAGATGGTCAGATGGTTGCTAGGTATATCATTGAGTTGAGATGTTCTTTGCAGGAGAAAATTGGGCTTCATACTTTGTGGACAGTTCATGAGGCATATAATATAGCATTGAAGGCTGAACTACTAGAAAAAGATAAGTGTATTGAGTCGAGTACTATTGGTATCAAGAAGAGCAGTTATGAATCTTCTGCCCCATCCATGGAGAAAAACAATGGTATGTAGCATGTTCCTGGGGAGAGTGATAAGAAAAAAAACTTTACCCCACGCGACAAAGGTAGCAGCATAAATTGGGGAAGAGACGCAACAAGAGAAGCAATCCTTAGGCTAGTTCAACGAATGATATTTGTTACAAGTGTTCCAAACCAAGGCATTGCTCCAATGAGTTCCCACCTCAAAACAAAAAGGTCAATCTAACTGAGGTGACTGAAGACGGAGATAAGGAGGGTAATATTGATGCCGAATTTGTGGATAAAGATGTTGATGAGATGGTCAATTTAGTGTTATAGAGAGTCCTCATATCCTCAAAACAGGAGGTAGGTAAAGAAAGGACTGGTGGTTCAGGTCACAGAAGTATGCAGGGTTCCCATCTCCATTGGCAAGCATTACCAACAGGACGTTTCGTGTGACGTGATCGATATAGATGCTAGTCATGTATTACTAGCGCGTCCTTGGCAGTATGATACAGATGCTACACATAAAGGACGTGATAATGTGTATTTGTTCAATTGGGGTTCCCACAAGATTGCTATGACTCCTGTCAGTGAATCTGGAAAATTAGAGAAGCTAAAGAACTCGAATTTTCTAATGATGTCAAACAGCAAGCAAGAGTTTAAGGAAAATATTAAAAAAGCTAATGTCATGTACTCTACGTATGTGAAAGGATTGTTAGTTGCCTTGCTAGAAGGTGTGTCTTGCCCTAGAGAGGTAAATAAAATTTTAATTGATTTTCAAGGGTTAATTTCAGATGATTTACCTAATGACCTACCACCCATGAAAGACATACAACATCAACTTGATTTGGTACCTGAAGCTAGTCTTCCCAATCTACCTCATTATCGTATAAGCCCTAAGGAGAATGAGATTCTCAGAGAAAAGATAGAAGATTGCTGTAAAAAATTATTTATTCAAGAGAGTATGAGTCCGTGTGCAGTTCTAGTATTGTTGGTACTGAAGATGAACAGGACATGGCTCATGTGTGTTAAAACCTGTGCAATCAATAAAATCACCATCAAGTACAGATTTCCAATTCCACGCTTGGAGGACATGTTGGATGTTTTGAAGGGCTCTAAAGTGTTTTCCAAAATTGATTTGAGGATTGGGTACCACCAAATTCGAATCTAAACTGGAGATGAATGGACAACAGCTTTTAAGAGCAATTATGGATTGTACAAATGGTTGGTGATGCCGTTTGGATTGTCTCCATTTGGGTTGTCAAATGCACCGAGCACATTTATGATACTTATGAATTAGGGTTTTCATCCCTTTATTGGTTCATGTGTTGTATTTTATTTTGATGACATTCTGATTTACAACAAAACCAATGAGGAGCATCTTATACATTTTAAGGAGGCTTTGAAAGTTTTGCAAGAGAACAAGGTGTTTTTATTAACCTGAAAAAGTGTACTTTCATCACAAACATGTTACTTTTTTGGGTTATGTTGTTAGTGCATATGGTATCCACGTGGATGAAGATAATGTGCGAGTTCTATAATGGCCTACCCGAAAACAACCAATGATTTGAGGAGTTTCCATGGCCTTGCAACCTTTTACATGCATTTTGTTCGCCATTTCAATACCCTGACCGCACCAATTACTAAGTGCCTGAAGCGTGGAAAATTTAATTGGGGTGAAGAGCAAATGCAAAGCTTTGCCCTTATTAAAGAAAAGTTGAACACAACACCAATTCTAGCCATTCCCAACTTTGAGAAGATATTCGAGGTTGAATGTGATGCGAGTAGTGTAGGGGTAGGAGCTGTTTTATCTCAAGAGAATAGAGTAGTTGCATTTGTCTCAGAAAAACTCAGTGAAGCATGCCAAAAATGGAGCACTTATGACTAGGAGTTTTATGCAGTGGTTCGAGCCCTGAAACAATGGGAACATTATCTAGTGCAACGGAAGTTTTTACTTTACACTGACCACCAAGCCTTGAAATTTATCAACAGCCTGAAGAGTGTGAACAAAATGCATGTCAGATGGGCTACTTTTCTGCAGAAATTTCCATTTTTTATTAAACATAAATATGGAGTTCTTAACCGTGTAGCAGATGCACTGAGTCGTCCAGCAACTTTGCTTGTTACTTTGGCTCAAGAAGTTATGGGTTTCAAATTTATGAAGGAACTATACGAGACTAATGAAGATTTTCAGGAAATTTGGGCTAAGTTTATTCGCAATGAGCCAATGACAAATTATCATGTTAATGAGGGGTATTTATTAAGGGCAATCGATTATGCATTCCTACTTCTTCTTTAAGGGAGAAACTGATCAAGGACTTGCATAGGGGTGGACTAAGTGGCCATCTGGGCCGTGATAAAACCATTGCCATTACGGAGGAGAATTATTTTTTGCCACACTTGAAGTGGTGAGATGTCAACACCAATATGCGAAAGTACAACAGTTGTCAGGTATCTAAAGGGGTAGTCCCAAAATACTGGTCTTTGTATGCCTTTCTTTGTCCCTGATGACATTTGGCAAGACTTTCTATGGATTTTGTTATGGGACTCCCTCATACACAACAAGGAGTCGATTCTGTTTTGTTTGTGGTTGACAAGTTTTCTAAGATGGCGCATTTTATTGCTTACAAGAAGACTGCAGACGCTTCCAACATAACCAAACGGCTTTTCAGGGAGGTTGTGCTGTTGCATGGTGTTCCTAAATCTATTATGTCAGACCATGTCACCAAATTCCTTAGCCACTTTTGGATAACCTTACGGAAGATGTTTGGTATGGACTTGAATCGTTGTAGCACCGCTCATCCGTAGATGGATGGTCAATCTGAGGTTACCAACAGAACCCTTGAAAACATGGTTAGGAGCTTTTGCAGAGACAGGCCGAAGCAATGGGATGTTGCATTGCCACAAGTGGAGTTCACTTACAACAATGTTATTCATTCTTCCACATGAAAATCACCATTTGCCATTGTTTACACTTCGATGCCTAAGCATGTAGTTGACCTAGTCAAGGTTCTAATAGCACAGTAGACTAGTGTAGTTGCTGAAAATATGGCTGAACAAGTTCAGACTTTGAGGGAAGAATTGAAGGAAAAGCTAGAGAGGACCAACGCCAAATTTAAGGTCGCCGCTAACAAGTGCCGCTGTGTGAAGCTATTCTAGGAAGGAGACTCGATGATGGTTTACTTGAGGAGAGAATGTTTTCAATTGGTGCCTAAAGCAAACTGAAACCTCGAAAATATGGCCCCTACAAAGTTATGAAGAAAATAAACGACAATGCCTATGTCGTGAATCTTCCTTCTTCAATGGGCATATTCAGCACTTTCAATGTTGCGGATCTACATGAGTTCCATGATGATGAGTCAATTTATCCTAATGATAACTCGACGTCGAGTTCTTCAGAAGTGGAAGGGACTGATGTAGAACAAAAGGTGGAAGCAATCAAAAAGGAGCTAGAGTGACATGCGCACAATGGCAAATCGGATAAACTACAGATTTTGGGTCTAAGCTCAAAATCGGGCCCATGACCCGTCGATTTGAAGGGAACAGTATCACGAGTAAAACTCATTGCTTTGCTGTGATGTATGGGCTTTTTCAAACATCCGATATCGTTTGGTAGCCCGAAATCCAGTTTTTATAGTTTTTGGAAACTTTGTTATTTTCCTATTTTAATTCCTTTGTTATTCCTAGGGTTTCTATGAGTATTTAAGCATACTTTACTCATGGTTATGGTTATGTTTTGTTATTCCAATCTTATCAATAAACCTTGAGGTTTCCTCATATCTTCTTGATGGATTCAAGAGTTACATTTTTTAGGCTAAAGTTTAGCCAATCAATTGTCAAGCTTTCTCAAAATGTCAATCAATCCCTCATTATGCTCTCTCCTATAATCATGTATCATATTTGGAATGAATCAGTATAGGAATCAATATAATTATTCTCTTACCATATCTAGTACACAGTTGCTCTTATATGTTTACTGACAATTATCAAAGAATAATATCAATCATTTCTATCTCAAAATTCTTCAAAGAAGCTATTACCCTCCATTTGCTTTTCGAAGCTGCAAATAGTTATGGATCAAGCTATAGTGGATAATACAAATAATCTTTATTAAGGTTTAGTTTCTGTCTAGCCCGAAACATGTCGTAAAGAAGTGTACACATACTAATACAGGCTACAGCATAGCAAGCCAACAACCATCTCTCTCAAAAACTCTAAAATCCAATCAACATGACAACATCAATTCTTGGGAATGACCTTATTTTTAAAATTAATTCTAAGGAACGACCTAAAAGTGACTAAAAGGAAATCTCATAATAAAAGGAAACCTCATAATAAGCCAAATCAGAGAGGCACGGGTTCAATAAAAAGTGAAGCAACACTATCTTTCATCACTTTCCCAACATGTGTGTAGCCATCCTCCCCTTTGTAAAGGAGATCAACCACTCTTGTTAGATTCAGAACACGCATGAGGACAGGCATTGGCACATCAGTTGGTCTAAGGAACTCCTCGTTGATATCCTTCCACAAATCTTTAACCTGTTTGTTAAAAATATCAAGCACCTCTTGCTCTGGCACCCCATATTGCTTCATGTAACATTCAATACTAGAAGCAACATGCTCTCTCTCTTTCTCAAACTGCAAAAATAAATCCAAAATACAAATTTAGTTATCTTACCTAATTGTGATTTGTACCAAGGTAAGAACATCTTATTATACGTACCTCGTATCCACTAAGGTCATCCATGAGCCTAAAAATGATATTTGAAGCTCTAAGAATTCTAGGATCATTCAACAACCACTCAAAAGCTTCCTTCGTTCCAATATCTCCCATGCCAACCAGAGATGTAATTGAAAGCAAGGTGTTACCAACACAAGCTGTTGCTACACTCATATACTCTTCCATGCTTGGAATGTAGTCTTTGTGCAACCATTGGGCCTCAGCGAAGTAGTTCCGGGCTTGAGCTTTAACCTATGCCATTTGTTAAAAGCATTGAAAAGTAAAGTGAGTTGTGACTGTTGAAAAAATCCCAAGGAACAAACTCAAAATAGGTTAAAAGCATTACGTACAGCTTCTTTTGCATAGTTAACTCGGTATGATCTTCCTTCTTTTACCATCTCCTCCTCAATTTCGTCGTAAACATTCAAGATATCCATACAATTGATATCCCACCTGAATACTTGCATATAGTCTGGGAGTTCATCCATACAATTGATATCCCACCTGAATATTGCATAAACCACATTCATCTTATGCAACAAATAAATCAGCTTCAATAATTAATTAGAAAGCAGATTATAATTTTTTTCCAATTAACCTTTCAATTGCTCCAGTAAAAATCACTTCGTATGTGCCAAATGCATCGTAGATATCATCCAAAACTGATACCAGGGCAATCACTTTTGTAAGAATTTTTCTTGTTGCCATATAATGCGGTTCGAAATAGACTCCAACTATCCAAAAGTACAGCTCCACGATCCGATCTCTTGCAAAAGGCAGCTTCTTTTCAAAGTCCAGTTCTTTCCACCACCTATAATTAATTCATAATATTAAGTGTATAGGGTGTACTAATTGCAAACTAATTTATGTTTACATGATTCAAAGACTTACCTAGTAATCTCGCTGAGCTCCTTCTTGTGTAAAGATTGAACGAGATTGAAATCTAACTTCTCAAGTTTCAATATAGCTTCACTATGTGAAGCATCATCCCGGTAGATTGACATGTAACCCCGGGCACATACCCTCTCCAGACCCTTCCGCAGAGGTCTCTCTAAGGCTTGAGTTATCTGTAAAGCCAGTGGATTTCTTGCGTCCGTTGTTTCTGCTGACTCAAGATGAGTGGTGGTGAAAACAAGAGCCTCTTCTAGTATGTCTTCTCCATGCTTCCTTAGATGTGCTGCTTCATAAAAGCTTAGCATCCCAGGAACATCAGCAGTTAAGCTCTCCTTGAAGTTACCATTTTTATCTTTGAACTTGTTGAATATATCTGGTTTATTTTCAGAAAAAATGGGCACATATATAAGACATAGAATAATATTATAGCCAAGAGCCACTCACTTCACATTCCACACATTTAATTAATTTCTTCACCCCTACCGCAAGAAACATTGAATCCATGTTATCTTAGTAGCCGAAAACCAAGAGCAACAGTGTAGAGATCACCACCATCATAGTCATGATATGTAACGTGCACACGTTGCAAGGCTTCTTCGATTTCTCTTTTGAAATGGTAAGCCATGCCAAGGTGCTGGACTGCATCAATTAGCTTGAGCTGATGTGAAAAATCACCTGCACTTGTTGTGAATACTTCCTTCCTCACTGCTACTTTCAGTTGGTCCACTTGCTGTTGCATATGGTCATAAGTTATCTGCTACAACACAACACAACAAATTTAAATTAAATTAGCAACAAATTAAATTTGAAAAGAATAAAATGCATATAAATAATTTGAATAACATTACAATGTTTTTTTCATCATAATTGAGGAACCGATCTCCCCAAATGCTTGGGTGATAATTTGCTGTCTGCCTAACAATTTCTGGTTCAGCACTGTGTGCTACTTGAGCTGCTATTGGGAAAGACATGGTTTGCTTTGTACTGAAATATTGCTCATACGATTATGTATATATAGGCAAAATCCACATCATTCACTCTAATTAAGATATAATAGGTGTTCTTTTTCCTCCTTTTGAGCATAGAGATGTTTAACATGTGTTTGATCCGATTTAAGTATTAGATATGATCCTGAAAAACGAGCTTATCAGCTATGTATCCAGCGTGACAAACATTACCTCTACCGATTGCATTAATATCTCCGGTGATGATTGTTTAACATACTTATAAAACGAAAAATACTTGGCCATTTTTTTCTTTTTCTTTTTTTGAGAAAGTATGGGATTACATTCATAATTCAGCCAAAAAAGTCACTAGTCACAAAGGCCAATACAAATTAGCCACAAAAGGGCCATTATAATAATGGAGCAATCTAACATCAAAATTAAGACAATCTACTAGATGTAGACTTAATGCAAAATAGGTGTGCTCGGACCATACTAGGTGTGCTTGGAAGAGAGGGGACTAGAATACCCAATTCATACTAGATGTAGACTTAATGCAATGTCGGACCATTTTTTAGCATCAACAAATTAATTTTGTTAAAAATTAGATTTTTACTATTTTGCCCTTAATATATTAAATTGTGGTTGTTTTAGCAAATTGGTTAACCAAGGGGCGTTTTAAAGGTGTTTGGATGTTAACACCGTTTGAGGTCTATATATAGATCTCATAAAATAATTTTTGGGGCCATCCTCGATGTGGAGCACTAGGCGATTATCCTTCCGGGCTAATTACAAGGCCAGCTCTGAACAGATACCATCTCTGCATGTACTTGACTGTGAAAGGTATTTGAAGCTGGCTAGTTGGGATAGGCCGGCTCCTTATTATGTTTTATTATTTTGTATCTTATTTTCTATTGTTTGCAATAAGGACCTCTTGACTTTTTGTTACGTTAAAATTAGAGCATTTTAGTTCAAAATAATTTACCACACCAATAGGCTTATTGTTAGTTGGATTGGCTCGGGCCTTTGATGTGCTCTCAAATGAACCACAATTCAAGCCACTACGAGTTGCTTTCCTCACACCTTCCTAACTTTGGCAAAAATAATAATAATAATTTTTATAAAAAAAAATTGTTGGAATGATTTAAAATAATTGAGAATTCCTTTTGCTTTATCTATATAAATAAAAAGTTCATGACATTACAACATTAGCAATTGTAACACGAGCTTGTAGGGCTCCAGCACTGTTGGATAATTCAACACAAAACATGCATCCAGTGTCGTTATCATGAAAGGTCCAACCTGTTCATCATGAATCATGATTCACTACCTGTCAACTTCTGGATGCGCAGGATCATATAACATTATCTGCCAATTTTGGTAAGATCGTGTTGAATATCGGCTTCGTCTATTTGGATGATTAAATATTCCAAAAGCTACATTTCTTACCAAGACGCTCCCAATCTATTCCTTTTGGATTTCACACGTTAACTATCTGCCCATCATTGGCTTCATGGGCCAACTAATGGTAAGATCTTATCTTTGAAAAGATCAACTTGCTCTGGTCACCAACTATATATGTTTTTTTCCTTGGTCATCAACAGTCGTTTGAAAAAGGTGAAAACAATTTAAAACTTCATGGGGTAGTTGTGTAATTTTCAAAATTTCAATGGAGTATATGAAAACACTGAAAACTTCATAAAATGTTAGTGTAAATAACTCGTAGATATATCTCATCGGATGACCATTCCATTTGGTTCAAGAGATGAGATTGATTATCAAAACTAAAAAATAAAAAGATTAGTATACAATACTAGCTAGATTGAAGTCTTTTTATTGTTTTAATGAAACTAATTTGGGAACGAAGTTTTTTGTTTTGTCAGAAACAAGTTTTATTAACGTTGAAAGCCAAAATCAGTTACATTGTGGGAGCAAAAATTAAGGCTTAAGTAACAAGCCACTTCCCATGAACTTTAAATTTGAGGGAATGTAGGTCAAATAACATGATATTCACTACCATAGAACGTGGAGATAAATAAGGGATATGGGACTTGAAGTCAAAGTGTTCAATACCTATAAAAGGTCAACTAATCCCCCAGCATAAAGGAATAGATGTATGACATTATTCTGACTCTACTGCAATATTCCTAAACGAACACTGACTTGAGCGTCGGAGTATTTTCTTGTAGGTACCCTCCTCATTCCTCATTGATGGCAATTGAAATGGCGTCCAGCTTCTCAACATGGAACACAAGATTACTTATTAAAGAACCCAAAATTTCATGCTCCAACACACACCAAAATGAACCCAAAAACACAAAAAAGCATCAAACTCACTACAACCTGGCACACAAACCAACACAGTTGCACACAAAAGATCCACAAATCTGCCCACCAAAACAGAGACCAAGTAAAATTGGAAGGGAAATGGAAAGGAATGGATATGATCAGTCAAAGGCTACTGACAGTATTGTTATTATTTTATTTTGGGGTATTTTATTATAAATCTCTGTTATTATTTTATTCCTTTTATTTAGATCTCTGTAACAGTAATGGTCTTAAAAGGAGTCCACTTTTCTTCTTCGTCTTCTTCCTTTTGTGCTCTCCTTCTACAAGTTTTTCAACTTTGAATTCTTTTAAATTCAATATCTGTAAATTAATTTGGTTATGCCAATGCCACCCAAATTCTTATATCCCTACCCATATTTTTAAAAAATCTAATCACTACCTTGTCATCGTACTAGCTCCATCATAACGTTATCATCATAGCTTGAAAAAGCTCAAATTCTCGGAAAAAAAAAATTCATTAATGGCTTCCTTTAATGCACTTGAAGTAGTGTCAGTTACATGTTGAACCCCTACAAACCTTTCAATTATTTGTTCTTTGTCATTCACATAACAGAACACCATCGCCATTTGCTCCTTTATTGAAACATCACATGCTTCATCCACCATTATTGAAAAATATTTATCTTTTATATCACTCAAGATAAGACCAACGGTTTCTTTGGCAAAAGAATTGACAAGAATTGAAGGAGCTATTAACTTTAGATTGCCCGGAGCATTTTCCAACACAACGGCCTTAACTTTTTCATCATGATCTGCTAGAAATTGAAAGAGCTCTAAATAATTCCCGTTATTACTTGAAATGGCACTTTCATCATGACCACGAAAAGAAAGACCTTGTCGCAACAAATACCTAGTGCACTTGAGTGATGCATTCAAGCAAGTGCATTAAGCCGTACGAGCTTGGTTTGTTTGCTTGATCACAACTGTTTTAATGTGTGTAATTTGATGCATCAAATTGTAAGCAACTTCTCTAGCTTGGTTGTGAACACTACCAACCGGTCCAACATGAAGATTAAATCTTTCTTTCCCCTTCTTCCAATTATTAACGCCTATATGCGTCGCCACCCACTTGATCAAAATTAGGTTTAAAGAGATAACAATGAAGACAAAATGCAGCATCTTTAGCTATACTATATTCCAACGAATCAAACTCATCAAACCATTGAGCAATGAAACATCTATTAATTCCTGATTGATTAATTTGTGGGAATCTATGACATCTAGGTTGACAATGTCTCTTTTTGTAGATATGCTCTTCGAATCTCATCTCAAATATTAGGACTATAATCCGTCATTTGAGTTCTTAGTCCAAGGTCTACCTAAAGATTAGCCAATATTGCATCTACTTCATTAGTCTTGCATTTGAACTACCCGGATTAGACGAAGAAGGACTATCCATAGATCATTTTCTTTTAAAGAATCATTCCATAAATCTACACATCAATCAATTATAAACTCAATCAATCTATATTATCATATCCATAAATCCATCAATAAATAAAAATCAATATCAACAATATATATTATCACTATAAATTTAGGGAGCTGATTTCCCCACTCCCATTTTCTCCACTTACACTCCTTTTTGCTTTTTAATACTTTTTAATCAATTTTTTTCTTTATCTTTCCTATTCCATTCTTATCTTACATTAATTTCTTTTCTACTTCACTTTTATATTATTTCTTCTTCTTTATACTTAATTTTCTAACTTACACTCCATTTTCAGTATTAAAGGGAAAAAAAAAACTTAATTTCTTACACAATTAAAGGAAAAAAAAATGAAAATGGAGTGCTAGTTGGAAAATTAAGTATAAAGAAAAAGAACTAATATATAAAAGTGAAGTAAAAAGAAATTAATGTAGGGTAAGGATAGAATAGGAAAGAGAATGAACAAAATTGATTAACAAGTATTAAAAAGCAAAAGGGTGTAAGTGGAGAAAAGGGGAGTGGGGAAATCATATCCCTAAATTTATACATATCAATTTTGCTCAATTGTAGTTGAAAAAAAAAACAGACAACGGACGGTGGCACAAGGTGCGTCCGCCCCTGGTTGTAACTACCAAAAATATTTAAAAGACAAAACTTGATAACAATAAATGTGTTCTCCCTCCCTGAGTTTAAATTAGATTAAAGAAAAATGTCATTTGTATAAACATAAATATATATATATATATATATTAAAAGGGGCTGCCACCTCCTCCATTGGCAGCGTTAAACAACAAAATCCACCCACAATAAGTTTCCCTCAAAATCTAATTTTGAAGTGAAAATTGAAGAGAGAAATTTAGAATATAACAAATGCTACATGTGTTAACTTGTTACGTTTTTTTAAAGGAAGATCAAAATTTCATTACCACCAAACAAGTTACATCAAATATGGTATGTTTTTTAGTGGGCTCATTAAAATATTCCCGAAGAAAACCCAATAGGATAAAACTTTACTTATGAATCATAAGTCGTACAAGATCACATCAACCATATCTAGCTAGAATTACTGCAATATAGGGATGCATGGCGGATGTAGCTTGTTATTATATTGATTTAACTCATGTATTGAAGAGGAAAGTACCATCATCATCGATTCACCACTATGCTAGCTTTAAAAGAGGCCAAATGGCAAACGCTAAACATCCGCTCTAAATCCAGCCAATGGCCCAATATGTTAGGTGAGAAAACGTTACAAGGAAAAAGATAATATATATCCCCGCACTCAAAAAAGGGAGGGCCCAATTCAAAGATAATATATATGGCCATGGAAATTATTGCTTTGAAAATTATTATATGGTTTATATGAAACTATCTTCTGCTATGCACGATTCTATTCTTGCTTTGCAATAATCTTATATCCCAACCCTTGATTTATATACATGAGTCTACTATCAATGTGTTTCATAGTTTTATAGCAAAGCTCGAAGCATATAGAAAACAGTACCAATTGTTAGTATGAAATTTGTATTGTCATTTCCTAGACTCTAGCATAGGTAGAAAATTAGTGTGTGAAGAATTGTTACTAGACGTTTTGGCACAACTCATTCAACCCTATACTTCCGAGGCATGACTTGACCATATGAGAAACTTGACAACAGGTAAATCATGACATAATCATGCATTCATTATAGGATTCCTAGTTGGAATTCTTTTCACTCAAGTATTTTTATGCTAATTCTATTTTTAATAGGATTATATTTTATCTCTTGAGATTACTTTCCTAGTTGGACTCTATTTTGATTTAGATCAAAATATTATGTTTTCATTATCTTGGACTTGGAAAGGATGTTTTAATTAATATCCTATTTGGTTTCATGTTTACATCTTGATATATATTGTTTAATTGGATAAACAATTGATTGTAGTGCAATGGAGAATATGACGAAATCATATAGGATTCTAAGACTATCATATTGAATGCATGGCAAGATATTGTGTTGTGATTGTGGGCCTTCACGTGGATTGTGGAGAATAAGTTTTGTATAAATCTTTGTGTGCATCTCTTTAGTTTTGTAGAGTTTTCATATAGTTGGTTTGAGCATCTAAAATTCCAAAAAAGCTACTGTGCATATATTTGAGATAAATCATCAAGTGTTCCATCTTTACTTGGTGATTTATCAAACACTTTAATCATTCATATTGCATTCATTTGCATTGATCGGTGACTCATACGGTTGAGGGCACCAAGACCGTGGTGGCGGTTTTCCTCCGGCGAGCTTGAAGCAATCGTGACCAGTATTGCGTTCAACATAAGGAGTGTCGAAGATCATCCCATGACAGAAGTTGAGTTACGAAGAAGTCGGTAAACATTATCTAGAATGTGTCTAGGATAAGTGTGTGAGTACTTCTTGTAATTATCGTTCTATAGTGGATTTGTGTTGGACTGAGGAGTCCCGTGGATTTTCCCCAGAGGTGGGGTTTTACCACGTAAAATAATTCTCTGCGTGTTCTTTTACTTTAAGCTCTGCACATCCTAGGATTGATAACTCATATCAATCCTGCTTTAAAAGTTAATTGTTGTTTATTGCAAAATATTCAAATTAGCCTGTTTAACCTTCTCTAGGCATATATAGACATCCTACAGGTATTTTCACCAATAACTGCCGTCTGATTTTTATCTACCAAAGAAAAAACAGCAAAACATGTCTATCCAAGTTTGTGCAGCAGCCCAATCTAAGCCTGAAATTATTCATCGGAGGGCAACTTTCCCACCAAGCATTTGGGGAGATCGGTTCATGAACTATGATTCCCAAGACATTGTAATCTCATGCAAATTATATTATCATTATATTTCAAAGTAGTACCTCTCAATTGCACCGGTCCTAAATAAATGTTTAATTATTAATTAAACATGATAAAAGACCATTTTGCCCCTAGAATATTTTATTAGATTTAAAATTAACTTTTTAACTAGGAAGAAATTTGGGAATTTCAACTGAACCGTTGCGTAGAGCACGGCGAGATGAGTTCATAGACACGTGGTGGGCTCAAATCGGAGTTGTAACGAGAGAGATACGATCAAAATATCCTCAGTGGCATAACCGTAATTTTGGCGAAAAGGGTTTGATAAAATCTGATTCTCTCTCTCTCTCTCTCTCTCTCTCTCTCTCTCTCTCTTCGAAACTCCGGCCACGGCTGCGGACGGGACCGGTGCCAAAAGGACCGGCTCAACCCCGACGTCACGACCCGGCCCTTCTCCGACATCGGCAGCCGCTCCAACCGCCGAAAAAGGCGATTTTTAGACCGATTTTCACTCAAACTTTGCCGGCTCCGATCTCTCTCCTCCGGCCGCCATTTTTGGCGATCAAGGTATGGAAATTCATCCATTCTTCATAATCTAGCTGATGGTTAGGTAGGATTGCATCAATTTTGAGCGTAGGTAGCTTGATTTTCAAATTGGATTTTGGCCGATTTTGAGATCGCAATTCCAGCCACTTCCGATCACTTTTCGGGGTAGGTCCAAGAACAAAAATGGTTCCAAATAGGGTGTTACACCTAGGGTAGGAGTCTTGAGCCGTAATTTTGGGTTTTTCCGGCGATGGGTTATCGCTTTGGACACCCACGCGCTGGCGGCGCATGTGGCGGTGCATGAGCACTGTAGAAAAAAGGCATTGTGTCCCGATGTAATCTTCTGGTCCTCACGAGTGCGTAGGTGTGCTCGGATTTCAATTTGGATACCGTTTGAGTCTCGAACGGATATCGCCTATTGCGCGTTATCCGGGTTCAAAAGGTTTGAACCGTTGGATGGTCTTGAATTCATTATATGTCAATCTGGACATCCTTAGGATTGTGTAGGATTCGACGGATCGTAAAAGGGAGTCCCGGATACTCCGAAAATGCCAACCCTAGTGCTAGGGTTACAGTAATCGTCCGATGGTGCGATCGTGAGCGATTCGACCATCCGATCCGGTCCAAACTTGCAGGACGTGTGTCCTAAGCTTCGTAGAACACATAGGAACTTCCGGATCGGATTTTGGAGGTCGTGGGCCCCGTGGGCCCCTTTGACCAAGTTTGGGTAGTTTGACCCTTAATTGACCGTGAGTCTTCCGGGGTAGTTTCACCTTTCCAGAAGGATTAAAATGACCATAGAGACAGGTCTTGTTCGTTAGTGGAGTTACGTTGATTATGTGGGATTAGGATATTATTTTATTGTTTTAAACTTTTGGGGGGGGTGGTGGTGTGGAATCGGAAATAAATATTATTATTTATTGTGGGAAATTTTATATGATTGTTAGGTCCCACGTGGCGTATGATTTTTCGGCGTGTGGACAAACCCCATACGTGGCGTTGGATTTTCCGATGTATGGGGAGATTGTGATATGATTGTTAGGTCACATGTGGCGTAGGATTTTCCAGCGTGTTGACAAACCTCATACGTGGCGTTGGATTTTCCGGCTTATGGGGAGATCATGTGATATGATTGCTAGGTCCCATGTGGCGTAAGATTTTCCGGCGTATGGGGAGATTGGGATATGATTGTTAGGTCGCATGTGGCATAGGATTTTCCGACATGTTGACAGACCCCATACGTGGCGTTGGATTTTCCGGCGTATGGGGAGATTATGTGATACAATTGCTAGGTCCCACGTGACGTAGGATTTTTCGGCATGTGGACAGACCCCATACGTGGCGTTGGATTTTCTGGCGTATAGGGAGATTGTGATATGATTGTTAGGTCACACGTGGCGTAGGATTTTCCGGCATGTTGACAGACCCCAACGTGGCGTTGGATTTTCCGGTGTATGGGGAGATTATATGATTATTAGGGAGAGGAATTAAGGGTTGTTATATTATATTGGAAAAGAAAGTCTTTGAAAAGGATTGTGTTTGATAAGTTGTGATTTAAAGAAAAAGGAAAGGGATAAATTGTAGAATCTGTTGTTTTGTGTTATTGTTATTGATTTTATGTTATTGGAACCGGGATTTCTGTTAAAAGAACTACGTGTGGCTTGATCCCTTAGTAAGGGTACGTAGGCAGCCTAGGGTAGTGCCTAGGTGCAGCCGCGGGCTAAACTTTGACCTTGTCGTTGGTCCTAAAACTCGGATGGAACGAGGCTTGATAGATTAAATGTTTATTATTCAGTTGGACTGAGTGAATGTTGTAAATTTGTGGATGTGATCAAGTTAGGTTTAAAACTCGTTTGGATTGTTGTATGATTTAGGCTGAGGCTTTAAACTACTTGTGATTGGGTTAGGAGGTTAAAACCTTGCTTGTTGGAATTGGGAAAGTTAGATGAGGTAAGCTACGTTTGGCATTCATAATTATTATTTGAGTTTATTAAATGCATGGTTTATTTTTATTATTTGATTTAAGAGCTTGGTAGGTGGTTTTGCTTCGGATTATTTGAAGGTCGGAGGCCATTATGTGAATTGCATGTTACTATATTGTGCATGCTGACAGTTGTGGATATTAAATATGTTTCATGCAAGTTGAAATGCTAGGAAATGTTCAAATTACAGAGGAGACTCTGCCGAAATTTCAGCATAAAGTCTCGTGCCTTTATTCCTTTTTAGAAAAGGAGGTTATAGTTTTAGTGAGTGGGCCTGACATCGGTGTGATGTCGGGAATTCCACAGGATTCGTCCCGGGTTTCGAAGAATTCAGGGCGGGTCCTGTCAAAGAAGAAGTTGAGGAGCTGAAAGAAGTAGTGAGGAGGGAAGTATTCACAACTAGTGCAGGTGACTTTTCACATCAGCTCAAGTTTATTGATGCAATCCAGCGCCTTGGCATGGCATACCATTTTGAAAGTGAAATTGAAGAAGCGTTGGAGCGTATGCATGCTGCATTTCATGACCATGACTTTAGTGATGATGGAGATCTATACAACGTTGCTCTTGGTTTCCGGCTACTAAGACAACATGGATATAAGGTTTCATGTGGTAAGTTAATCAACAAATTATAATGTAGTGGAGTGTAATGTGACTGATTTTTGCCAACTAATGCATGTTCATTTTTATGACAATCAAGCAGATGTGTTCAACAAGTTCAAAGACGAAAATGGCAGCTTCAAGGAATGTTTAATTGTCGATGTTCAGGGGATGCTAAGCCTTTATGAAGCCGGGCATCTAGGCGTACGGGCAGAAGAAATACTAGATGAAGCTCTTGCTTTCACCACCACTCACCTTGACTCTGCTGCAAAAGCTCATGGAAGCTACGAACATGCAGAACAAATCACTCAAGCCTTGGAGAGACCATTGTGAAAAGATCTAGAGAGGGTGTGTGCCAGGCGTTACTTGTCAATCTACCAAGATGAAGCTTCACACAATGAAGCTTTGTTGAAACTTGCGAAGTTAGATTTCAATCTTGTTCAGTCTTTGTACAAAAATAAGCTCAGTGAGATTACAAGGTAAGTCTCTCTTCACCACCAACTTTGGGCACCAACTTGGGCACCAACTCTCTAATAGAGGTGGAGCCCGCCAATACACCGGGTCTCACGCTCTATTAGAGAGTTGGTGCCCAAGTTGGTGCCCAAAGTTGGTGCCTCTAGCATTTTCCCTCTTTTAATTGTAAATGTGAGCATATAGACTCAAGTTACACATACAGCTAATGTTATTGCTCATTAGGTGGTGGAAAGTAGAGTTTGAAAAGAAGGTGCCTTTCGCAAGAGACAGGATCGTGGAGTTGTACTTTTGGGTAGTTGGAGTATACTTTGAACCCCAATATGTCGACGCATATGCTATGTTTGAAGAACTTGAGATCTTTACCGCAGCAATTGAGAGGTACTACTTTGAAATCATAATTTTCTTTTTAATAATTTAGAGCTGATTTATTGTAATTGCAGAAAGTGCTCCTAAATAAGCCAACTTACAAGGTTTATCAAATTTTCATGTGGGATGTGAGTTGCATAGATGAACTCCCAGACTATATGCAAATATTTTATCGTACCCTTTTGAATGTTGTCGATGAAATTGAGGAAGAGATTGCAAAGGATGGAAGATCATACCGAGTTTATTATGCAAAGGAATCTGTATGTATTATACGCCAAGTTACGGAGGCGTACGCCAAATTCCAAAAGCGTACGCGCGAAATTGCAGGGGCGTTGCAGAGCGGAGAAGAAGACGATGAAACCTAACTTTATTTCTCTCAAAACGATCCCGTATGGTACAGCTTTTGTGTTTAAAAAGTCAAGCAAAACGCCAGCGTTTCAACATCCATGGTTTTTAAGTTTAAGAACATAAAATAAGCTCAGGTCTCACTTCTTCCATTCCTTCACAATAAAAAATTATTATATTAATTAGTCCCTCCTGTGCCTTTTATATTATGCTCTCACCCAATAGAAGGTTCACAAAAATCAGATTTCCCTCTGTTTCAATTTTGACTAGCTCTCAGCCATATCCACCCACATATTTCCAATGGAAGCCTCTCTTTCAATTTATTCAAACAAGATGTGAATCCTATCTTATAAATTTGAATTCATATCCAGTCTATAACAGTCTAAATTAATTTAGAGCTTAAAAAGAGGCTTGAAATGTTTCAATTTATGAATCAATGACCTCACAACATATATGGATCATATGTTTTACATATTATAAATATACTAATATATTTTTATTTGTGATAATTGAATGTTCAAAAGGCTTGCGCCTTATCGCCTCGAGGCTTACGCCTCACTTTGCGAGACATAAAACGCCTCACTTCAACGCCTCGCCTTTCAAAACATTGTATGTATATAATATATTTAAATTATTTTCGTCCGCATTATCTAGTTATAACGTTATGTCCCCTCCAGTTGAAAGCTGTAGCCCGAGCTTACTTTGAGGAGGCCAGATGGTTCAATGAAGGATACACCCCAACCATGGAGGAGTATCTACCTGCTGCAATAGTTTCTACTGGTTACCCCATGCTTTCAACTGTATCCTTACTTGGCATGGGAGATATTGTAACGAAGGACATATTTGAGTGGCTGTTCAATGACGCAAAAATTGTTAGAGCTTCCACGACCCTTTTTAGGTTCATGGATGATATTGTCACAAGCAAGGTATAAAATATTCTTGTCATGCTAGATTAGGTAAGCATGTTTAAAATGCAAAGTTTTACATCGAAAACTTGACAAAATAAAATACTATATATAATAAGTGGTTTCACAACTAATAGCATCATGGCCTTTGGTGATAAAAACCCACACTAAACTTTGTTGGTGGTTAAGTTGAGAACAACATCGGTGTTAGCAGTAGTAGTAAGAATGACAATCTGATTTTCTATAATATTACCGAATTAGTATTTTGAATTTCTATATGCAGTTTGAGAAAGAGAGAGGCCATGTTGCTTGTAGTATTGATTGCTACATGAAGCAATATGGGGTGTCGGAGCAAGAGGCACTTGATGCTTTGAACAAGCAAGTGGTGGATCTGTGAACCATTGTAGGTGCTTCAAATTGCCCCTTTGCTTAACTGGTGTACAGATTACCTTCTTTCCATTTTCAACATTTAAGTAAATGTTTTTGTCTTTTTACTTTTATTTATTTTTATATTACTTCATTTACTTAAGTTTACAATGTAAATAAGGAAGTACTCCCCATTTGGATTCAAATAAAAATACTAGAAAATCAAATTCCCACCAAATCAAAATATGAAAATTCGGTTTTAGTGCAAAATACGATTTATGCTAAAAATGATGGCTCATTAAGTCAATATATACTTCATACTAAAATCTCATAAAATCAAGTTTTCTTATTTGATGTATAAGGAATAAAAGCCGCCAAAAATTATCTTGAGAAAATGATTATTCCGAAAAACCATTTTCATACTTAGTCAATATTGCACCTCTGCTAAAAAATTTCTGGATCCGCCAGTGTGTGGAAGGACATAAACGACGAGTTTCTTAGACCAACTGCAGCGCCAATGGCTGTCCTAATGAGAGTTCTTAATTTAACAAATGTGGTAGATATCCTTTACAAAGGTGACGATGGCTACACGCGTGTTGGAAAAGTGGTGAAGGATAAGATTGCTTCACATTTTATTGATCCAGTGCCTATTATATGAGTTTCTATGTCAGACTGTCTTTCGGTCTTCGGTCAAATAAGAGAGGGACCTCTATGCTTTGAGTTAATTAGGTCTTGCCAATATTGTCTGGTTGTTGATTGGAGTTTAGCCCTTATTGGGAGAGAGGGGCTCTGGTGGTTTGAGCTTTTATTTAAACGTGTGTAATAATGTTTATCCTACATGCATCAACGAAAACATAAACCGACACTACTTGGGTCCTGAATGCTGAGGATTGTATCTTTTCCTTTTTTTTCTCATGTGGCACAATGACTAAAGAAACTTACCTTGTGGATGTCACCAATGATGCACTGCTATATGCTTATTTGACATGACATTGTGTGATCTACTTAGAGTATTAATATTATTTTTTTTGTTTTTTGTTGTGAAGGGTACCCACATCTTCTTTCTGCTCACGATTCTATCTAATTTTATTGGGCCCATGAAAGGGAGACAACCCAAGACATTTTTTATGACAAATTGTGCAAGATTTTTGTCTAGATATTGCTGTATCTCTCTCTTTTTTTTCAATTTGAATTGGAGATTTGAATTAGGGCCACTTTCAAAATTAGAAACAAAAGTGGCATTAAACGAGGAATTAGTTAGTCTATCTTTCTACTCCAAACAAATTAAATCCAGCTGCTACTTGTCAGGATTAAGTTATTCATGTATCTCTACCATGACAAAGCTACAAAGTATATCTTCAAGAAAATTTCAGACCCAAAAAAAAAATATATCTTCAAGCAATAAATCAAATGTATAAAAAAGAACTTGATTGGGCTATAACCACGAAAATTCATTTCCGTAGCCTAGTTGAAAGAAAGGACTTTTGTAAAATCAACCATAGCACACTACCACTACCAAAAGGCCCATTCCATCCCTGCCTTCTTGGTAGACTCTCTCCCATCAAAAAGGCCTTTTGGGAATACCCCCTTTAAGTTGCAACCCAAGACAACAATAAAATCTCTCTTTCCCAGGAGACGGGGAGGCTAGAATAAGGAATTATTGTGAGGAGTAGAGGTGGGCATAAAAACCGATAAACCAATCAAACCGACCGAACTAAACCAAACCAAACCGAAAAAGAGTGTTTTTTGACCAAACCGAAAAAGTCAACAGAGGACCTGAACCGAACCAAAGGTCCATGGTTCGGCCTTCGGGTCTCATTTTTTTAGAATCGAAGAACCTGAACCGAACCGGTCAATATTTAATATATATATATATATATATGTTACACGTGGCATCATATGATTGGCCAAAAAAATATTCATGTGAGACTGCTTGCAGCAGATCCCTTACAAATTTTTTATTTTTTCCCGTAACCCTCACACGCGACTCTCTCTCTTCTATTTCACTCAGTCTTCTCCTCTCTTTTGTTTTCATTTTTCTTTTTGTTTTTGACCTAAAAGGCTGTGACGCCTCTCTCTCTCGACCGTCTCTACTTCAATCCTCTCACTCTCAGTCGATCAGCCACTGTGCCGCCTCCATCCCTGCACGCAGGTCAGCTTCTCTTTCTCTTATTTGTTCTATTTTTTTCCCATCGCGTCTTTGCTCCACTAACTTTCTCTTTGCTCTCTCTTCTTATCTCGATTTTTCTATGTTTCTCAATCTCAGTTTCTGATCGGCGACAACACCTATTCCTCTCTTGCGATTTCTTCTATGGGTTTCTCTCTCATATCAGTCAAAGGTGAGAGCATCATTTTCCTTTGAATTTAGGGTTTATTCTAAATTAAATTTGTGGTTTTTTTTCTTTTAAATTAGGCTTTTGGATTTGGTGGTTGAGGTTGACGTGATGATATATTTCTTCTGTTAAGGTTTTAGGGTTGTCGAATTAGGGCTGCCACCAATTAGGTTATGATGTGTTGTGATGATTATTTGAAATTGACAAAGAAATTATGAACTGTTAGTTTCATTATACAAATTAGGGCTACTAGCATTTAGGTTCTTCTGTTAAATTATTCTAATTAGGGCTACTACCAATTAATTTTTGTTTTATGAAATTAGGTTCTGTGAAACTACTAGGTTCTGTTTCTGCTTCTGCTATTCTGTTGTTATGCTGCTGTATTAATTATGTTTATGTTTCTTTTTGTTAAATAGGTTGTGTTGCATGCTAGGTCTGTTTTGATTGGTTAGTTTCTGTTTTTATTAAAGAATAGATGGAAAAGTGATGATATATTTGTAGTCTGACATTGTTCATGCATGATACTTCGATTTTTTTGAACGAATTATGGTTACATATTAAAGATTAAGACATGCAGTTCAAATTTTGGTTTTAATTTTAGTATTTTTATTTTTAGAGCTGTGGGTATTTAAGGGTATTTGGTTTGAATTTATGAAAGGAATGAAGCTTGTTTGTAACTTAACCCTTTTTTTGATTTCATTCACAGTTGTTTAGCATCGTTGTTGCTGCTGAGCTTTGAAAGTTTGGAAAATTTTGCTTAAATGGAGGTAAATAGTTGCTGCTAACACTATTTTTGTTTTGTTTTGTTTTGAGTTAATATGTTTGTATTATGTAATTTGTAATCTGTTTTGTTGATTTAAATCTGTTTAAATCTGTTTTGACTCTGTTCTTGCATGTTTGGATAGGAAAAATCTGTTTGTACTGTGTTTAAATCTGTAATTATAATCTGTATGTGATTTAAATCTGTTTTGACTCTGTTTCTTGCATCTTTGAATAGGAAAAATCTGTTTGTACCGTGTTTAAATCTGTAATTGTAATCTGTATGTGATTTAAATCTATTTAAATATGTTTTGACTCTGTTTCTTGCATCTTTGAATAGGAAAAATCTGTTTTTACTGTGTTTAAATCTAGTTTTTGGATAGGATATATATTTAGGGAGTTGTATGCATAGGAAAATCTGTTTTGAGAGTTTAAATGTTAAACTTTCAACAACGAAGACTACTTTTAAACAAAATAGAGTGGGCTATTGGCACCCATATTTTCTAAGGATATAATCACTAGTCATATTCCTTTGTGAAAAATTATATGGTCCACTCATTCATTAGGCGTTTCTTCTTTTTTCTGTAAGAAAAACAAACAAACAAATTTGATCATTATCTATCAGGCAGCTTTAGCAGGATTGGCCCATTTAACCGGTGAACAAAATTATGGCCGTTAAATATTTTTGAATTTTCTATTTGTCGAGGCTGTATATATTTTTGAATATTTTTCTGAGTGTGGATATTATGCCAAGATTGTAAGGTGCTAAGTGTGCTCAGATGTATGTGGATAATATTGGATTGGCCCATTTAACCGGTGAACAAAATTATGGCCGTTAAATATTTTTGAATTTTCTATTTGTCGAGGCTGAATATATTTTTGAATATTTTTCTGAGTGTGGATATTATGCCAAGATTGTAAGGTGCTAAGTGTGCTCAGATGTATGTGGATAATATTTCTGTACCGAATATGCCCCACTTGATGTCCTCTAAAAAATACTTGTCCAACTCTCAAATTCAATGTAAGAAAGGATCAATGGTTTGATTTTTTCCAAATATTATCTATTTTTTGTTATTTTGAGTTTGCATTTTGAGTTGGGATGTTTATATTAAAGTTTCTTCGATAGAGCATGATCGTTAATGGAGGAGCCTCAAATTATCTTAATTTTGATATTAGATCACTATATTACTGTAATGGACCTTTGTGTCTGGTTTGTATTATAATGGCCCTTATTACGTTACAAGGAAAAAGATAATAATATATATATATATATATATATATATATATCAGTTCCCTTCTATTGAGAGACACCCTTTAAGGTACCATACTAATTTTTTTCAACAATCCAAACCATCTATTTTTTAGGTCTTCATTCATAGATCATCCTTATAAAAAATTAGACAAAATGAAAAACCGTTTAGACATCAAATTGTATCCTACAAAATCAATGAACACAGTGCTTCAAAAAAGTACTAAAATTTCAATATTAATTGAGTGGTCAAATAATATCGGATTCAAGTAATTTTTTTATAGAG